GTTGGATCAACTTATTATCCCCAAATTGATATTTTCTTTATTCTCATCACTTATCTAGTTGATATTTAATTGGTATTGTAAGGAGAAATTCTGTCTTTGGAAATGACAAATTTTCAGTGTTGAAAAATAAAGTGCTGTTACCTATAATCGTAATTCTTTTAAACTTCTGGTTATTTTTCCTTCAAGTAACACCCTCCTAAAGATCAAAATTTTGATTACCTGTACATCTCTACCATAAACTATTAACAATTTTCAAAGAACCAACAATTCATGTATATAACAAATAGAACAATGCACATCATACTTGTGGGAGTATTCCAGGTCTCTTAGGCATTTCTCTTAAATTCTAATTGCTCACAAGTAAACCCAAAAGTAAATTAGAGAAGGAATGTTTATCTACAGTATACAAGCAAATCATATGTAACACTTATTTCACCCATTTCTAGCAAACATGCTTGAGTGTATTTTTAATTGATTGTAAAACATAATGTTTAATGGTGAACAAAATAACATAGGTATGAATGTGCTATGGTTGTTGAATACTACTGTATATCTAATTCAGAAAGAGAAACAAAAGAGTCTCATGATAGATTCTGCAAAGAAATTAATGCTAGGAGTCACCATGCCAACTTTGGCATTTTAGATGGAAGATCAAAATCACTGCCCTCATAATCATTTTGTGAATTTGTTTACTGCAGTATGTTGGTTCATGTTCTCAACCAGAGGCACTTCAATATGCAGGAAACTCATGGAAACACGTCAGCAAATCATGGCAACATGCAATCAATTTATGGCAATGTACAAGCCATCCATGGCAATGACTGGCAAGTTAATCTATTTGACATAGGGGTAAGTACCACATATCACCGGTTAACCCAAAGCATATTTTTATTTCAAGTACGTTTAATCAAAAATACTTAAAGGACAAAACTGATGCCCATGTTAACTAAATTTAATGACTACTGTAGAGAATTTTGAATGTGCCAGGATTATATTTTTTCCTCTAAAAATAGATGGTATACAACTTTTCCATGAATTATTTGCATTTCACTGAAGTTTGATAGTAGAGTTTCCTTTAAACTTTCTTCTTACTTTATAAAATTTAGAAAAATTGAAATGGAAAACATGAAATTCTAAAAAAAAAACACATCCATGTAAATGTGTCTTTGCAAAATATAGCTCTTATACAAATTCCTGTTATTGTCCATCTGTTGACATATACTATTGGTACCCACATTGTAAATAATAAATATCACTTAAAGCAGTGGATTTGTCAAGATCAAATGGACAGCAAACTCACTTTAATGACTGCATAAGGAAATTTTCCATTCAGTGTCAAAAAAATTACAGAATTGCATTGCTTATGCTTCGCAACTGTAACTCCAGCCAAGACTTAGCTTCGGTGTTTATTCTATTTTTTGCCCCGAGTACTTGTTACATGTAAATTTGTGGACCTTGAGAAGGGGCACTTATTCAAGGAGAGCCCTTTTTAGAGGCTTGGCTGTAATAAATTTTTCTTGCCAATCAGAAAGTAGTAAGTTCATTTTGAAACAAACTTCTCCTGTGCACTTCAGTTTTTTGTGGGGTTTTAGGCGCTTATACATGGCTGGGTATCTATTAACTTTTCCTACCTACAGGGTGTGCACTTAATCAAGGTGGGCACCTACTGGAGGTTGCCTGCTTTAAATAATAAATAAGTTACCTGCATTTTCCCTCGCTTCTGGCTGTTTTTTTTTTTATCAGAGTTCATAACGGCTCACCTTACTTTACATTTTGACAATCAATGGATAATTGGTCTGCCTTTTAAGTTATACCAACTTACATGACTAAAGGCTATTTTGAGGCAACAAGGTAGAGTACCTGTCAAGGCACATGTATGGCTACCAAATACTACTTTGTGACCAACACTGGTTTTTTCTTTAACTTAACACAGGGAGGTGAAGAACTATGAAAGATCCTAGCTCATCAAAGACTATTCTGTTATACATTTTGTGTAATATTAAAAAGAATAACTTGTAAGATACTCAGGTTGAGTAGTACAGAGTACTGAGTATAAAAAATTAACAAATTTAAAGGTATATGCAAGTAGGTACATTCAAGAGTAAACAGTTTAACTGAGCAGCCTTATTTAAGTGTTTGTTATTGGAAGAAAATAATAGTTGGACGAAGTGGACAAAGTTCACATGAAAACTATAATATTTTTCAGGCTCTTTATTTTCATTCTTTTGTTAAGCAACAGAAGTTAAACATACTTCTTTGATCTGTTGATATAGAAACATAGTTAGAAACACACATCATTTCTTAAAAATGGCAACATTCATTGAGCAGCGTAACCTTTAGTTTTTTTCTTTAACAGATAATTTACATTTCTGCAAAGTTTTGAGTCAATTTTCATTTATTTTATTAGTAAAAATGCGTTCAACCATTGAGCAAATCCTGTCATCGGAATTAAATTTCATCAGAATGTTACTCGATTCATTCCTTTCAAGATCATAATTTGTATCCTCAAGTAATGGGCTTCTTGCATGCTTTAGCTATATATTTTTTCCCTTCAAAGATTTTTTTTTTAATTTCCCCAATTCAAAGGGGATATATTATACAATAAAATTGTGCAAAAAAATACACATGTCACCATACTTGTTCAAGAGCTTCAGACTGTCGTACCTCTTTGCCTAGTCTATGGATTGAAAAACAATACCATGTTCTCTGAATACATATGCACTCATTCACTTGATTACATGATTTTTATGTGCATTACAGGATGCACAGAGCAAAACAGAGGAATCACCTTAACATAAAAATTCCCTGAATGAAAGTGATCCTCGCAGTAATGTGCACTACTTAGTATCGCAGAGGTCATGGGTTCAAATCCCGTACAGGCCTGAATTTTTTTTCAGGCCTTATTTTCACTACTGCCTAAGTAGTGCACATTACTGCAAGGATCACTTTCATTCACTTCTTTATCCGCAGTTCAAATATATGACTTTCATATATTCTTGACCATTTATAAAAATTTCATGTATCAGTTCACAAGAGGTCAGGCCAAGTGTGTCCTTAATGTTCTTCCCAAAGTTTGACCTCTTCTGTGATCTGTTATTATCCAACTGCTCTAAGTTGAGTAAAAATAACGCATGAATCAACTACAAATATCCTCCAAAACTGCATTTAAATTTCAACTTATCATGTAATATATAGATTTAGCCAAGCCTTAAAGTGGAGCTCACATTTTTTTTTTCCCCTCACAACTTGTCCCAGCCAGGACTAGAACCTGGGTTGTCTGACTCAGAGCCCAGTGCACTGACCACTGGACTATGAAACAAAGCCGTAGCGTTGGCGTGCCTGTGGTACAGTTGACCATGCATGTCAAAAGTAGCATCTTGTATGGTCGTACGGTCATACTGTTGTATGGTCGTACAGTCGTACGGTCACATGGTCATACAGTTGTATGGTTGTACGGTCATACATCCAAATTTTGTAGGCTTGATGGGTTACCACTATTTTGTATAATTATGGTGCTACGCTCCGTGAGCTCCACTAAAACTGTACTGATAATTATCTCTCACAAGAGGCTGAGATATACTACTGTATCTACAACAACCCTAATAATTTTAGATTAGCCTTCAGACCTTACAGTGAAGATGCTTTCCTTCATATATGTTTAAAAAGATTTGTTGATTACCTTGGTTTTAAAGACAAATGAATGTTGAAAAGGTTTTTCTTGCGATAATAAGTCACAAACGATTGCGGATCGCAATGTAAAAACCTATGTATTGACAACGTTACAAAAAATGTGACCTAGAGTTAAGCACACTTTTTTTTAAAATTACCTATGCACTTCAGCTCATAGTACATTCTACACTTGCTCCAAGTTTTACAATTCGAATAGTTTTTGTGCGTGTTTCAAGCTTAAGGTAATACCGTCAAGTTAACCGTCGCGTATCACAGACCGTGTCGAAGTGAAATGGAAATCATATTTCTCAATAACTAGACAAGAAGTTAGTACATGAATGCCCCGACCGTCTTAATCCAAACGTGACGACCATTTTTAAAAATGATCGTACAGTCTTTTTCGCAGCCTTTCTGAGCTAACACAAGCGTATGAAGAAGTATCTGATTTATCGAAAGCTTGAGCGGTTGGTTACAAAGTGAGCACGCAATAAACAGATGTAAGGGAAGGAAACAATGATTTTCTCGATGGTCCCCACCGTAAGATTAAAAATGAAGGAAAGTAAACTGTAGGAAAACCGAAAGCAAGTTGAAGACGCAATCTATGGTTCTCTTACCTCTTATACCAAGTAAAATAATCTACACTCGTTGTACATCACCATTTTCCAGCAAACGCACCTTCGCGGTTCATGCTCCGATTTAGTACATGCGCCTTGAGACCCGTAGACTGGGAACCAGCGCAGCCCACCAGGTCGCGAGACCAGGTCGCATGATTTGGCCAAACAAGACTGGATCATGCCACCTTCAGACTAGTAAAATAGCCGTGTCTGGCCAGTCAAAGAATAATAAACTGCCTTTTGGTGAACAAAAGATTAGAAAGGTTTGCATGTGCATTCACCTCACTGCTGTCATCCCTCTCAGATCTGACTCAGACGAAAACAGTACGCCTTGTGATTTATAAAGAAGACATGCAACGAAGTGAAAATACATTTTAAAAAAATAAATAAATAAAAATACCTAAAGCTAAATGCTGCCCGCTCAAGACAAAAAGAATTAATTGTCTCTCAACTGGAGGTCTGGGTCGAAAAAGCAGTCCGACAGGATGTTATTTATAGCGGAATGGAATTGACCGAACAGGGAACAGGGAATAGGGAATAGGGAACGGGGAATGGGGAACGAAAGACGAGGAATGAATAATAGGGATGGGGAATGGGGAATGGGGAATGGAGAATGGAGAATGGAGAATGGAGAATGGAGAATGGAAAATGGAAAATGGAAAATGGAAAATGGAAAATGGAAAATGGAAAATGGAAAATGAAAAATGGAAAATGAAGAATGGAGAATGGGAATGGGGAATGATAAATGGGAAATGGGAAATGGGAAATGGAAAATAGAAAAAGAAGAATGGGAAATGGGGATTGGGGAATGGAAAGTAAGGAATGAGGAATGGGGAATGGGAAATGGAAAAAAAAAGGAAAATTGAAAATGGAAAATGAAGAATGGAATATGAGGAATGGAGAATGGGAATGGGGAATGATGAATGGGAAATGAGAAATGGAAAATAGAAAAAGAAGAATCGGGAATGGGGAATGGGGAATAGAAAGTAAGGAATGAGGAATGGGGATTGGGAAATGGAAAAATAAAATGGAAAATTGAAAATGGAGAATGGAGAATGGGGAATGATGAATGGGAAATGGAAAATAGAAAATGAAGAATGAGGAATTGGGAATGGAAAGTAAGGAATGAGGAATGGGAATGGGAAATGGAAAAATAAAATGGAAAATTGAAAATGGGTATTTGTTTTCATATTTTTTCGTTTAAGATCTACCTTTTACAAGGAACAGATATTTTTCATCGATATCCACATTCTCTCTCAAAAATGTTCAGTGGCAAAACAACCTCGGATATCCCCCAGTTTTACCTGCGGAATATTTGTTAACGTGACGCGTTTAGACCAGCTGCGAGTGAGCAAAAATATTTGATGGACCATAATCGAGGGTATGTCCTAAGCAATGTTCCCTTATTTCATGCTTTACGTCCATTACGACAAGTCTTAGCTCAAAGTTAATATAAGGAGAGAGAGCATTTTGTGGTTTTTATAAAAAAGAGTACATGTTTGTTGGTTCATGAAATCGTACCAGAGAACACTGAAAAGTGAACATCCCACACATTAAAAAGTTAACTTTTCGTAAACACTTTTTTGCCATACTTTTCACAAATATTTGAAGGATAATAAACAAAATAGCCTACATTTGCGCGGAAATAAACAAAATCATGACCGGTGAGAATTCGGCGCGGGTGCTTAAATTTCATATAGAGAGCGTAACAGCTTACACGAAAGGAACTTGCATGAATATTTACGTTTTAAGTTAAAAGGGAACTTCTCCTGGTTTGGGCAAGTATTGGCATGTATATTAGTTATATTAGTGGAACTATCCCCGTGTAATTTGATTGGATGTAATTGCATGACATCTGCAATTAAAAGAATGACGTAAAACTTTTAAAACAGCGAATTGGAAGTCAGATATTATAATGGCGAACAGTTTGAAATTGCCAAGCACTTCTAAAAGGGTTAAAAAAGGGTTCATAGTGATCGATGCAGCTTAATTGTGCGTGTGAAAGTCCAATACTGACCCAGTACTTGCTCGCAAGGATAAAAAGCAGAAAGACAGCCATAGCTTTTAGAAAATAAGGCTCTATTCTTATCAGTGGTATGATTTGCATCATTTAACGCTCGGAAGCATGACCCACCCCGGCATCTTAACGAACAAATAAAGCAAATAAATAAGTTTGTTTAAATGATCTTATATTGACAAGTGGAGAGAGTTTCTTTTCACTCCTACGAAACCTAGCATCAGAATATTCGCTGAAACCGGCAAAGTTCGGCGAACGGTAAATTTGTGCATCGAAAGTATCTGTGTAAATGGATATTAAAGTATCTGAGAGGATGGGAAGACTGAAACAACCGGCATGCAACTCTCGGCATATTCGCGGAAACCGGCAAAGTTCGGCCAACCGTAAATTTGGCATCGTATGTATCTGCGTAAATGGATATTAAAGTATCTGAGAGGAACTGAAGACTGAAACAACCGGCATGCAACTCTCGGCTTTCAGTTCCATTGCGTATGTAAACCCCCCTGATAAAGCAATGAAGAAAAGGGAAATGTCCGCAGAAATCGTTTGGCCGTATGAACGCCTTGCACCAAAGGTCTAGCAGAGAGTGCTATTATTTCTTCAAAACTTTTGAAATAACATAATTTAGCACTCACTGGCTCTTAGAATATGATCGCGTGACTAATTTTTCGTGACTTAACACTAATTAAAACAAACTCTGGAAATGTAAATTCTGTCACCCTTTGGCTATATAAATAGTTGTAATTATTCATTCTAGCATCCAGTGGAAATTAAAGTGCTTTTAATTTCCAATCCATGGGTAAGATTATCCATAGGACAAAAGATTCGAGTGAAGTCAAGCAGAACGCGACAACCGCAAAGTCACAGAGCGCTAAGTTGAGGAAATTACGTAGATCAATCGATACTCTGTACTCACGATCTCTGAAACAGCCAGCAGCAACACTCGGCTTTTAGTTTCATTGCGTATATAAACCCCCCCCCCCCCCCCGATAAGCAATGAAAAAAGAGAAATGTCCGCAGAAATCGTTTGACCGTGTGAACGTCTTGCCCCCAAGGTCAAACAGAGAGTGCGATTATTCCTTCAAAACTTTTAACATAGCATAATTTAGCACCCACTGGCTCTTTGATCGCGTGACTTCGACAAATTTTTCGTGATTTAAAAATAGCTTTGGTTTGCTCATTCTCTCATTAGTGGAAATTAACATACTTTACGAACCCGAACTGTCTCTCAAATTACAGACCG